GGCGCTCCCTTCAGTTTGGTGGGCAGCCTCCGCACTCCCTGGCCAGCAGCAGCATGTCGGGGCGCCGGGAAGAAAGCAAGCAGGTAGGTGCCCCCTGCAGTCAGCTCCCGGAGGGGGGGGGCAGGTGTGGGGGTGCCCCCCTCATGGGCAGGAAGAGCAGGTGGGACAGGAGGGGAGGACCGGCCCTCCCAGCCTGGGTCCAGGGTGCCCCGGAGAGGCAGGTGGGGGCTCAGAGCCTGGGAACCTGGGGCAGGAGGCCGAGGAGTACGTGGGGGCAGTGGGGAGGCTGTGTCCCCTTATAGGCCCTCCCGGGTTTGAGTCCACGCCCAGCCCGGGACACCCCTGAGTTTATACTGCGTTAGAGGGGCCACTGCGCCCACGGCTGGCCTGCTGAGCGTGGGACAGCCGGTGCCCTCGTTGCCCCATCTGCGGGCATCTCACGGAGGGAGAGCTGGGCCCAGAGAGTCTAAGGCCTGGAGGTCACACTGGGGATCGCTGCCCACCCGGGGCCCTTTCCCCAGTGGCCTGCGACGAGGGGTGGCCATTGTCCTCTCCTCAGAGCCCCTTCGCTGCTGGGGCTGCACACTTGCCTATTTCCTCTCAGGATAGTGGGGTAGGATTCCAGCCAGGGGGCAGGTAGGACCCCAGCTGCCCCACTGCCCCCGCCCCCTCCAGGAACAAGGGGGACATTAAAACCTCAGACACCTGCTCATGCAAATCCCCCCCTTTGCATACTCTCCCACTCGGTGGCACATTTGCCTGGCGTCTGCGCGGTGCCCCAGCGTCCCCTCGCCCGCCAGGAAGCTGAGGGCCGGGCCAGGCCTGTGGCGTGCGGGGTGGGGGCTGGTGGCGGTGGCCCCGGGGAGGGCGAGGCTGGCCCTCCACACTCCTGCTCCGGGCCAGCTGCCCTGTCAGGGGAAAGGCCGAGGAGCACCCAGGACCCACTCTCCCAGGCAGGGGCCCCCCCCACCAGGCCCCCCTACACCAGCCTGCCTGAGGCTCTTGGGTATGAGCACATGTCCAGGCCCCCAAACCCCCAACCCACACACGGCCTGGAGGGGGCGCACAGGGCTGTGCACCCCCTGCTCAGGGCACGGGTCCAGATGGGGACAGAAATGACCCTGCTGGTGGCCAGGCAGGACAGAGCCCTAGGGGGGTGAGGAGCTAAGGCCACCCCTGGGCCCCACTCCACCCCACCCTCCCAGCGTGGAGCGGACCCCTCCCACCTCGCTGCCTATGGATTGGGGTTGAATACTGTCCCCCAAAATTCACGTGCACCCACAACCCCAGGATGTGGCCTTATTTGGAAATAGGGTCTTTACAGATGTGAATAGTTAAGATGTGGCCACAGTAGAGTGGGGTGGGCCCTGATCCAATGTGTCCCCGCAAGAGGGAGATTTGAACAGAGAGACACGTGGGGGAGGCCACACGAAGGGGGAGGCAGAGGCTGGAGCGACGAGGCCACAGCCCGGGAGTGATCGTCTGGAGCCCCCAGAAGGTGGTCGAGGCAGGAAGGACCCTCCCTGCGGCCCTGGGCCACTGGATGCCCAGTGTGGGGGACTGTTCCAGCTGCCCCGGGACACGCGGGCACAGCCCGTCCCGCCCCCTCCCACACGGGCGCAGGCTCTGTCCCCAGATGCCAGCAGGTGTCCAGGAAGCTGCTGGCCACCCTGGGAAGGTGGTGCCCGCAGCCCTCAGATCCGCCTCCCGCTGCCCAGCATGAGCTCCTGCTCCAGGGGCAGGGAGCGGAACTCGCATCCCTCCCGCCCCAGGGCTGGGCCCCGGGCCCCCGGCACCCGCAGCCCCCGGCCAGGCTGCTAGGACGCGGGTGGGTGCGGGCCCTGCAAGGCCCACAGCCGGAGGGGAGCTGGCCTGGCCCGGGGAGGGCCGGCACTCTGGCCAGCGCTTCGAGGCTCTGAGTGGGTGGCTGAGGGCCCGGGTGGCCGTAGCAAATGACCACAGACTGGGCCTCTGAGAACAGCAGAAACCAGGCTCCCTGGCTCTGGAGCTGGACGTCCCACATCGAGGTGCCACAGGGCCGGCTCCCTCGGGAGGCTCTCCGGGGGCTCCCTCCCGCCTTTGCCGGCTTCTGGGGGCCCTGGCATCCCTGGGCTTGAGGCCGAGCCCCTCCCTTTCTGCCTCCACGGTCACACACTTGGTATAAGGCCACCAGTCCCTGGATGAAGGCCGGCCCATGACTTCACCGTGCGGAGAGGGAGTTCCTGTCCCAAAGGCCCGCCCGCGGGCACCAGGACTTAGGACCTGGACTCACCTTCTGGGGTGACACGGCAAGAAGGGGGGACCATGACAATGACGGTGCCAACCCCTGTCCTGCCTGCAGGTGCTCTGCTCCCCTCCTGTGCACACAGGTGGTCAGCCCTAAGGACGGGAGCCACAGGCTACAAGGGTCCACGGAAGGACCCATTGTGCGCTCACTGCCCAGGGTGCCTCCAGGGACAGAGGCCAGGCGGGGTGACCAGGGGGAGCTGGGGAGCAGCTGGGTGGGAAGNACGGAAGGACCCATTGTGCGCTCACTGCCCAGGGTGCCTCCAGGGACAGAGGCCGGGCAGGGTGACCAGGGGGAGCTGGGGAGCAGCTGGGTGGGAAGGGGGGGCGGCCGACACCTGGTGGGCTGGGTTGGTGTGGACCAGCCAGGGGACGGAGCTTTACTGGGGCCTCGAGGGGACAGGCAGGGCCTCTCGGGTCTCCGGGAACCCAGGCCCCACCAGGGTCACCTCTGCTCCTCTGTGGGCACTGGTGTCAGCGGGAGGGGTGCAGGAGCGGACACACCCCGAGTCTGCAGAGGAGACATTAGAGGCAGGACGCGGGGCTGTGGAGGCCACGGGGGCCGGGGCTGGGGGCAGGTGGCTGGGAGACCCTGGGCGGCAGGTCAGAGGGTGGTGGTGCTCGGAGTCAGGCAGGCTGGTGGGGCCCAGCTCCTGTCACAGGGCCAGTTCTGGACCCCTGGCCCTTCAGGCCCTTGCTGCGTGGAGTGGGGCTCACATGTGGGACCCAGACCCCTCGGGGCTGTGGGGAGATGACATGGGTGGGGCACCGGGGTGGAGCCTGGGATGGGGCAGGACCTTGGTGGGAAGAGGGGGTGGGAAGCCCCCTCCCGGGCGTCCAGGGCCACCTGGGCAAGGAGGTGGTCCGTCCCCGCTCGGCGCCGTGGTCCCTAGGCCGCCAGGCCTCCCCCAGCCCGGCTCCCTGCTCCTGAGCACCAGCCTCACCTTCTCTCCCCCACCCCCTCTGCCCGGGTGCGCCCAGGGTCCCATCTCTGCCCTGGGCCGGGGG